AAAAAAAAAAAAAAAAATATTTTTTAAATGCTGTCATCTATTTCAAATATGACTTATTAACTGAGACTAAATTCTAAAATACTGATACTCAAGATGCATAAAACAGTTAGTAATGCTTTTGTAAGTACTTTCTAAATTTACCTTTTTCTTTTTCTGAAGCACATGATTAGGTAGTAGTTGATGGAGTTGCTTTCTTTTTACATGCATTGCAGCAATTTTCATATCCACCTCAAACATCTTGCTGTTTATTGCTTGCCTATAAACTACACAATTAGGAAATTGTTAGGAAAAATAGAAACATTTTAATAAAGGCAGTTAAATTCACTCCAGAGAAACTATTCTAAGTACAGATCCTTTTGCCATCAATACTGCATATCTGTAAATTTATCAGGTCAAGACCCATCTCTAATCTGATATAATTCAATGCCTGAGCAAACTCTCCTTTTAGCACAAGGTATACATAATGAATAAAAGCAAAAATATATTAATTCTTTCAGTATAGTAATTCTTTAAAAAGCTCTTAAAGTAGTAACTCTTTATGAAATGGCAGAATTGGAGAAAACAGGTTTCCTAAACCCAGACCCTTTTAAGCTACCATTATTATTTAAAACTTTATCCAAGTATGGAACATATGTAGTAAAATAAGTCAAACTTAGTAAACTATCTCCAAAACCACCTTTACAAGAATCTGCAAGATAAAATTTTAAGATAACTAATGCCATATTTTCTATTAGAGAAATAACTCAAATAACAGAGGCCACAAGTACAAAAAGAAAATGGTACAAATAAATCAATCCAAATTATTTAGTTCCAGAGGGCACAACAAAGGAAAAATTCAGTCATACAAAAAATATCTAATGAGTACCTATACTGCATTCACATTGTTCCAGACATTGGAGACCAAAAGAGCCTTCCAAAGTCTACATTCTAGTGGGGTGAATAAAGAAAAAAAAAAGAAGTAAAATACATTCTGTGTCAGATGATGATGAAGCACTCTGGAGAAAAACTGAGTAGGGAAGAGGATAGGAAGATCAGCCTGGAAGCTGTGTTGACATGTGACTAAAGATTTAAATGAACATGAAGAAGTGAGCTGAGTACCACATGGAATAGCATTCCAGGAAGAGCAAAAATCAAGAACAAAATGCCCTGAGCCAGAGAACATGCCTGGACTGTCTGAGAAACAACAAAATCGCAAATGGGGAAGAGGAAAAGTAGAGATCTGTAATTCCTTATCTGCAACTCTAAAATCTCAAAAACTCCCAACACAAAAATTTTTCCTAAGAATGGCAACAAAACTCATCAACAAACCCTGTTCTGAACTATCTGTAGCTATTTTAATGTGAATATCAACAGTTCCCTGCATAAACACTGTTTTTGATTGCCAAAAGGTGACCGAGGCCCCACTGGGTAGATTACTTACTAACTTTATTGCCTTTCTAGCCCAAGACATATAGATGAAGGATTGTGAACTTATATTAAGAGGTAAGGTCAGGGACATGAGAAAACCAGATCAGGAAGAGGCTTGCACACCACAGTAAGGACTTGGACTTTTATGGTGAGTGAGATGGGCAACCATTATAGGTTTTAAGCAGGTGAGACATGACCTATTTGAAAAATATCATTTGGATGGTAGGTGAAATAGTTGAGGGGCATGGGCAGAACAGAAAGCCCATGGCTATGGCAGTAATCCGAAACAATAATAATCGTGGCTGGGACTAGGGTGAGAGCAGCGGGAAAAGCATTAAGTAGTAAAAAATCTCAATGTATTCTGAAAAAAGAGACAAAAAGATTTTATAATGGATTAATATCAAATAGAGGAAAAATAAGAGTCAAAAATGACTCTGAAGTTTCTAGCATGAATAACTAGAACAACTAGAAAAGAAGTTAGAGGGAACTAGGTATAAAAATTTGTATTCTGAATATGTTAAATGTTTTTTAAATGCTACCATCTATTTCAAATATGAGTTATTAACTGACACTAAATTCTGAAATATTTTTAAAAATTCCATATGGCTGAGCACGGTGTGTCTCAGGCCTGTAATCTCAACACTCTGGGAGGCCAAGGCGAGAGGATCGCTTGAAGCCAGGAGTTTGAGAGCAGCATGGACAACATAGTGAGAACCCATCTCTACAAAAAAAAAAATAATAAAAACAACTTTCATGAAGTATTCCATTAAAATGTTTCAAGATACAGGACAACTAAATATTTCCTTTCCAAAATACCTAAAAGATCCTTGAAAATCTCGATGGTTCATTAGTATACTCTTTAATAAACAGCTCAACTTGGACACAACGTACAAAACAAATTTTCTTTCTTTTTTTTTTTTTTTGAGACAGAGTTCTCACTATGTTGCCCGGGCTAGAGGGCCGTGGTGTCAGCCTAGCTCACAGCAACCTCAAACTCCTCAGCTTAAGCGATCCTTCTGCCTCAGCCTCCCGAGTAGCTGGGACTACAGGCATGCACCACCATGCCCGGCTAATTTTTTCTATATATTTTTAGTTGTCCAGCTAATTCTTTCTATTTTTTTAGTAGAGACGGGGTCTCGCTCTTGCTCAGGCTGGTCTCGAACTCCTGAGCTCAAACGATCCACCTGCCTCGGCCTCCCAGGGTGCTAGGATTACAGGCGTGAGCCACCGCGCCTGGCCCAAAACAAATTTTCTAATTCAAATATCTCTCCATGACTTGTTAGTTCATAAATAAAGTTGACATGAGAATCTTCACTTTAGAAAAAAACACTTCTGTGGTGTTTAGCAGGTGGTACATCATCCTACATATGACATTTTAAAAATCTGTAGGGTTATTTTTGTTTCACAATGATTAACAGTTGCTACTGGCTAGAGACAATAGGCATCCTTCAATATGGAAAGTTCTACCCAGGGAAGAATTGTACCATGCCCTACATTCCTAAACATAAAAAATCCTACTTTGCAATTATTTGAACTAAGAATTAAAGTTACATTAAAAATAAAGTATTTTAATCTGAAATTTCTAGGAACACAACTCAAATGGTATCAAAATTAGATCACCTTTTGTTTTATTTGCGACTTTCACTTTTATCATGTCATCTCACCAAAGCCAACACTGCTGGTGCTATCAGAATCACTAGAAGTAACACCTGTATCAGTCAGAATTCACAGATGTCACATTGCTAGTGATCTACATAAAGTACAATCACCTGACACTTAAGTATATCTTCTGATGTCATACCTTAGCATTGACACAAATATATATTCTTTTCCTTTATTTCTCCTTCATATCACAGTTAGTATGTGACACTGATTTTCTTACAAATTATCACCAATATTTTCTCTCCTTCTCTAAGTAGGTAAAAAAATTTTTAATGTTAAATCTGAATATTCTCCAGGGAAAATTCCTCAGAGTGGACAGATAAAAATACCACTTTTAGAATTTTTTAAAGCAGGGAGGAGGGGGACAATGCCAGAGAGAAAATAGGGTCCGTCTTCAAGGAAAATGCACAGATGCATATTCACTATTCTCTTGAAAAGTTGTGCATCTACATACAGTCTTAGAGTCTCTCAACTACATCCATCAGTTGGTCTTTGGTTAAAACATACTACCTTTTATGTCTCAGGGTACAGTCAATCTGAAATGTAGACTCGATCACTCTAATCCCTGCCCATGAATTAACACTTGAATCTGTATTTGACACACAAGACAAATTTCTTCAAGTCACCATAAGTTCAGCTTTATCAATTTCTAAAGTTCAAGACGATTAAAGCAGTCAGACACAGACTCAGTCTTTTAGACAACCATACACACTCACGTCGTTTCCAATTTCATAAGGAAATGCAGACAAGCCAAATTTAAAATAGTTCTACTTAACTGTACGGTCTATCACAAGAGAGAAAAATCATCTCTATACAGGTTGAGTATCCCTCTAATCCGAAAATCCAAAATCAGAGCTGCTCCAAAATGCAAAATTCTTTTGAGCACTGACATGAAATTCAAAGGAAATGCTCACTGAAGCATTTCAGATCAGGAATACTCAATTGGTAAGGATAATGTAAATATTCCAAAATCCCAAACAATACAAAAAAATCCTAAACACCGAGTCCTAACTATGTCAGATAATGGATACTCAACCTATATTTGACATTACTGAAGCTAGTAACTAATATAATATAAAGCCATTATTTTGATGATCATTTTTAATATTCCCAAATAATTTCAAGTTATTATAAACATTACTATGTTGTACATCAAGACAAATTCAAATATGCAAACACCTGAATGTTTTCATTACCCAAGTAGAGACATACCTGTGTCTGTGAAAGACTGAATATCATAGGTGAGATCAACACTGAGGTTTTCAGAGTTTTCCGTTTTTTTAAACACTAACCCAATCACCCACATTGTGCGAAATTCTTCCCTGCAAAGAAGAAAATTATCACAGTTTATCAGGATTTCATGAAAATATAATTATCAACACGGCTGACAATCTGAGCCATGTGGGAGAATCTGCAATACAAATATATGAGCAAACTCAAGCTTTAAGCCCAAACTCCAACAAAACTTAAAGTCCTTCCCAACAACCCATCCTCTATATTCGTATTAATATATAAACAATCAGAGTTCCAGGACAAATATCCTCTTACAACTGTACATTGAGGGCTAATGTTCTTTTAATAATGATTTGAAAGTACCAAAGGCACTGCAATCAAAGAAAAAGTATGTTTAAACTAAGGAGGGAAAAAGAATAATGCTTTTTAGAAAACTCTGAAACAAAAAAGGATCTTCTCTTCTAGATACAAAAATTTAACTAGAATTTTATATTTCTTAAACTTTTAAAATCCAATTTAAAATTCCAAATAAATAGAAGCATAGAGCAATTAGTGATTTAGCTACTTCTGAACATTTAATGGTTTATCCCCTGAATGGAACAGCATACAGTCTTTTTTTTTTGTTTTTTTTTGAGACAGAGTCTTGCTCTGTTGCCTGGGCTAGAGTGCCCTGGCATCAGCCTAGCTCACAGCAACCTCAAACTCCTGGGATCAAGCAATCCTTCTGCCTCAGCCTCCCGAGTAGGTAGGACTACAAGCATGCACCACCATGCCTGGCTAATTTTTTTTGTATACATTTTTAGTTGTCCAGCTAATTTCTCTCTATTTTTAGTAGAGAGGGGTCTCGCGGTTGCTCAGGCAGGCCTCGAACTCCTGAGCTCGAGCGATCCACCCGCCTCGGCCTCCCAGAATGCTAGGATTATAGGGGTGAGCCACCACACCCGGCCCCAGCATATAATCTTTTAATAATTAAGACTGTAATAACTGGGCCGGGTTTAGTGGCTCATGCCTGTAATCCTAGCACTCTGGGAGGCCGAGGCGGGTGGATCGCTCGAGCTCAGGAGTTCGAGGCCAGCCTGAGCAACCGCGAGACCCCTCTCTACTAAAAACATAAAAATTAGCCAGGTGTCATGGTGTGCACCTGTAGTCCCAGCTACTTGGGAGGCTGAGGCAGGAGGACTGACTGAGCCCAAGAGTTTGAGGTTGCTATGAGCTAGGCTGACGCCACAGCACTCTACTCTCTCTACTCAAGACAAGTGAGTGAGACTCTATCTCAAAAAAAAAAAAAGAAGAAAAAAAAAAAGATTGCAATAACTAAGAAATTATTTAAAAAAAGGTCAAAAGCTTCTTTTACATGATTACAAAAGAAAAAATCTTTGTAAGAATAATTATTCTATAACAACACAAACTTAAGTGATCCATTCAGCTGTATTTTTAAATCTTTCTTTAATGCTGTTTTGTTTTTTCAAAAAGCTCATTACTAATACTCCCCAATCTTTCCAAAGGCAACGAAGTATAGGTAGAGTCTCATTAATAATAACAGCAACAATCAAACCAGCAACTGACCTATATAAAGGAACCTGAAAAGGGTAAAGTAAGCCTGCTTTTATTTTATGTATCTCCTCAATGGTCCAGAATCAATCACAAATCACATTTTTGTGGGGTCAAATCAAAATATGTTCCCTTTTTTTAAAAAAACTAAAATAAGAAGCAAAGATTGATGTATAGTATACAGCAGCTATCTCAACAACTATTGTACAAAAAGTGAGAAGGAATGTTAAGAAGCAATCCTAAAGATAGTATTGGAGCAGATGAGCAGAATTTGAACTGTAGTTAATAGAATTAAGAGACTATTATCAGAAAAGGTTTATTTCAGTGCCAATTCTTCTCAAGAAATAGTCTTTCTCTTCAATGCATCTGGTCAGGAAAAACTTATAAATTCCAAATTTTTTAAAGCCATATGTAATTAATAGAGAGTAGTGATACTAGTTATAAAACTTGTCTGTAAAAGTTTCTATGAATAAAAGTTGAAAAAAGGAAGAGATTAGATTGAATTAGAAGACTGCTTACTTGTCAGGATTTTCTTTGGGTGCTGGAAATGACTGGGGATTCACATGAGCCAGTGTAATAAATTCATTCTTTTCCAAGCTTCCAACTAGGATTCGAATTTTTGATTCCACCAAGCCCACCCTGAACAAACGTCACTTAGTATTAATGAAAAGTTTTAGTTAACTTTAAAAAAAAAAATCAAATGCACAAAATCAAATGTTCATGTAAAGAAGTAATATGAAGATCATAAATAATTTAAAACACACACCAGGGCAGTTCAACTGGCTGAACTCCCAAAGATAAAACCAAAAGCTTTATGCTCTACCCAAAAATACTCAACTAGAGGGAAAAGAGAACCAAGATACACTTCATTCAAACCAGCAAGGTTACAAAAGTTATTCCCACAAATATTTAAAGACAAATTAGTAAGCTAAACCAAAGCACTTAAGAAATAATACATGGATTTCTATAAAACAAATAAGTTGTATATGTATATGAATCTATACTTCCATTATAAATAGTAAAGTTCCAATTAGGAACAAATCAAACCAAACTGGATGTTTTAAGGACTTCCTCCCATCTCCTACGTGTATTCATTCTGTGGCTATCTGATTCATTCTGACGTTTATTTTTTCTGTAAAGTCTAATCTTATACTCACCATTCTAGGCGTTGTTTTTCTGTTGGTGCACTTGCTAGAAGTACAATATAATGCCTTTGAAGATAAAGACAACATGCTATTTATTTTATTTACGTGCTTTGTGATGGATATTAAACCATAACGTAACAAGCTTCCTTACAGATCAACATCAACTTAGCAAGGGGGACTACAATGTCAAATATGCACATAAAATCACATGCTATATTCCACACATTTCTAAGTACTGGCAATTTTAATTCTTCTCAAAAAGATAGTGATTTTGTGAATAATTAGCAAATAAAGTTGCTTAATTCAAGAAGGCTGAATAAACACTAATAACTGTTCAATGACACCAATAGAGCACTCTACCTATAAAAGAGTTGCTCACTAAAATATAACCTATAAAACAAAAACGTTTCAATGGAAAACAAAAAACCAGGGTTCTAGCCACAAAAACGTATCACTAAATATATATATTACAACGGTAACTTCCAAAACAATGTGAAACACATCGTACTTTTCAATTCAAATTAAATGGTAGGGAAAACTAAACTGAATATTGAAATTAGGCCCCGTTATTTTTCCCAACGATAAAAATTTATTTCTAAGACAAAAAAACTGACATCACTAACGTGAGAGCAACAAACAAATCTGAATTCTATCAGAAATTTAATCCCACTCAAATTAGAAAAAAAGGTAAGTTTTCAATTGAGAAAATACCATCATGACCAAATATCTAAGTCTTTTTAAAACAAACTATTTAAAACCAAAGTGTAATTACTATGATTCAATTTCCTAAGATGAAAAAAAGTTCAGACCAATACACTCTTCTACAGTATCCATTTTAGAAGAGTTGGAAGACAAACTTCACACTGGAAACTTTACCTCAGAAAGCAAACTGACATCATTAGTATTTAGTATAGATACTAATTTGGAAAATGGCTGTATAACCAAAATTTAAAATTATTTTATTCTCTTAAAAGTCTGAAATCTTTCCTATATTCTCAATCACATTTTAAAAAGTTTTGCAAAATTCTGACCTAGATTCAGAGAAAAACTACAAATTATAGTTCAAAGAAAATTTTTTAGCCAAAAATACACGATATTTTTAGGTAAGGTTACCTCAAAAGATTTGCCAAAGGTTTGGCAATTTCAAGCATTTTTTAACCATACTCCCTTTAAAATAGTCCAATCGACCATTTATTAATTATGCTCACAAAGTATTTGAAAAATGCTTCCAATTCTTCAGAGCTATGTAACCCTTGACAATTCTAAGACTTATGTAAAATGGGATAATAGTACCCCTCTTATTGTCAATATTGTGAAGTTCAAATGTATACATTTAAGGTAACACAGGTAAATACATAAAAACAAGGAATACACAGATAAGTGAATAAGCAGTCCAACTCCATACAGACCAATACTTCCTTTACCAGTTTAATTTGTTCAGCATTATTTGGAACAAGCCAAATACAGAGAAAACACAGATGGCCCAAATAAATAAGTCAATAAAAGTCACATAAAAGCACTAAAAGCTCATGCGTTATACATATAGAGAAACCCATACTTAGAGTCCTAAATGCTCTTAAATCAAACAAAATCCTAACAAGCTCAGTAACCTTCTAGGTCCCCGAGACATCAAAAATGAACTAAAAGGAAAAAAAAAAAGTAAGGGAGATGAGGTTTCTCACTTAAGTATAGCAACTTGTAACAGAAGACAACAAAGTATAAAAATATAAAAATCAGGCATGCATACAAAAACTCAAAATGAAGATTCTTAATAATGACCTGAGTCTTCAACAAAAGCTTAATTGATATACAATGTTCTCCATTTATGAAGGGAAAATAAACAATCCATTTGAATCTAATTTTGTTGACAGCAGAAAGTTTAAAGAGTTGAAGCCTATCGAGTTCAATTTTATTTCTTGCAGAAATCAAAGGGGGGGAAGTATCTACTTTGTACATTTTTTATGCACAAATGCATATATTTACATAGAGGTAAAAATGTTAAAGTAGCTCTAACAAGTATTTATGCTGAGGTTGAATGTCTTTTACTCAGCCACCTTTAAGCAAATTTGAATTGAGAGACATAAAATGCAGTAATTAAGATTAACAGGAATAACCTACAAATATTTTATGAGTGGCTCATCCAAAAAACTGAAAATAAAATAACAATTTCATTCTGTAATTTCCTAATTTTTAAGTTTTAAAAACCCGGATTGGTATTCAATTCTTAATATCCCTATCAAACCACAGAAACCAAGTAGAAATACATCTAAATGTTATTTTGTTGTTATACCAAAAAATGTGATCCCCTATTTCACAACTGTCATGTCTAAAAACTATCATGCTGAAGATGCTCAAATGCCTACATGAAGAGACTTTGAAGTCTTAATGCAATTGTCACTTTTTCCCCAAATTTAAAGATTATCATATAGTTTCCAATAAAATTTGATATAAATGTACCCCCAAAGAATCAAAATGAAGTCCTAAGAACACTTAGTTGCTTTATTACCTAATAGCTATTTATAAAAAATTCTGTAAGTGGGTCTCTGTGCCATTTCATGCCAGTATTTTACCTGAGAAGACCATAACTAAGATACGTACAATGAAAAATTTACTTATCTCTTATTAGTCAAAAATGCTTGCAATTCTATCTTAAGTAATTCAGGACCAGGAGTTACAGTTCACTATCTTTAAAGTTTTTAAACAAATTTTAAGGCTAAATTATTTTATATATACTCGAAATGACAACACTGTGATTTTCACAAATACCTCTCCTTGTTTCCTAGTAAAATGCTAACACCTGAAATAAGTATCCCATTTTCTAATGGTAATGATTTTACTGTTAGTTATTTAAGTGTTAACTTGAATATCCTGAAGGAGAAATACAAAAAATATTTTTTTAGGACTCTTTAAAAACTTCATGAAATGTTACCCCTTTTTCTCAAGGAACACTGATATCTTTCTAGAAGGTGATTAGTTTGCTTTTAAGACAAACAAAATTTCCTCCATGGTTCTCTCCCTTTCAAGAACGTCAGGTGTATTTCACGATTTAAAATCCAACACAGGCCGGGAGTGGTGGCTCACGCCTGTAATCCTGGCACTCTGGGAGGCCGAGGTGGGAGGATCACTTGAGGTGAGGAGTTCAAGACCCCGTCTCTACCAAAAAAAAGAAATTAGCCGGGCAACTAAAATAGAAAAATTAGCTGGGCCTGGTGGCACACACCTATAGTCCCAGCTACTGGGGAGGGAGGCTGAGGCAGGAGGATTGCTTGAGCCCAGGAGTTTGAGGTTGCTGTGAGCTAGGCTGACGCCATGGCACTCTAGCCTGGGCAACAGAATGAGACTGTCTCAAAACAAAACAAAACGGAACAAAAAAACAATAAAATCCTACACATAACAAATGATAGTACTTTTAGCACATGCTTCAAAGAAGGTTTAATCAACTTTGACTCAAGGGAAAACTAAGGATTTCAATACAATTGTATAGCCAATCTGCAGGGTATTTCTTATGAGGGTATGTCTTTAAAATTCAAATTTGTGAACACCTCCCAAAGCCAGATTATAGTCATCGCTGTATCTTAAAGAGGAAAATTTTTGGAGAATTATAATATGGTATGGATAAAATTAGTCCACTGTCATATTTTCAAGTTTTCCCAGTGTACACAGCTGAAATTCAAATTTTCCTCATATAATTTCTTCTACTTGTTGTTATTTCCTTATATCTAACATGTTTAATTAAAGTTGTTTTTGATAACCTAAGAAGATTTGTTTTAGGAGACTTCAATAAAGATTAGCAATATATCATCTTTTAATCAAAGACCGTATAGGTACTACGTGGCAAAGATCAAAGCATAGTTCTAAAAGAAAACATTAAGCAAACTTTTTAAAAAGCACAAAGTTCTAATAATGTGAATTTATTCAAATGAAATGACAAAGTCAAGGTTTGTTCAATTTCAACATTAATCTTTCTTACAGTGAAGGAAGCCACTAAAGTAGGTATTTTCTACTCATGTTAGAACTATAAAGAAGTGAGGGACGAATAAGTATGAACCTAACTTTATCTTTGATTCTCAGGAATTAAGAGATGTTGATACTTTTCTGTAAGACCAATTTCTTTATTCTTCTCCTCAGATGGATGTAATTATGTCTTCCTTACATCGTACTTTTAAAATTATCAGTATATATGTTTATTAATTTAAATGCTCAAGGATACTTCCTCAATACTGGTTAAAATAAAAAACGAAGAAAAATTACCTGACAGATGGAAAGCAAAATTTATCAGGAGTAAGTAATAAAACAAAAGCATTCAGTATTATGCTATTTTAATTTTTACTGACAACATAATGCTCCCAGAACACAATTACTGGCTCCATTATTGCTTTTTCATGCAAAAGATACAGAAACAAAACACAGAGACATCATGAAGGTCATCATTCTTGTTTTTAATTGGGGAAATAGCATAAAGCAATCTTGTTTAGATTACAAAACACAATCCAACACAAGATCAAATGGTCAGGAAAATTTCAAGCATTAAAAAAAATTTTTTTAAATGGGACTTCTGCAAGTTTTCAGCCCAGGGCAAATAAGTATGCAAGTCTGTGTTTTTTGTTTTTTGTTTTAAAAAAAAATAAGATTTATTAAACTTACATTTTTCATCAAAATTAACACAACAAGGCTTTTAACCTGTACTAAGGTATTAAACCATTAATAAAAATTATTATACCCACTTAGATCCCAAGAAAACTATTTGTAGAAATATTTGAAGGGGCTTTAATAACATTAGAGGAAAAAGGTAAGCCAATAATGTGCTGTAAGTACTGAAAACATTTAATTGGCTATAGAGTGACATATTATTAGCTTTCTCTACGTTATAAAGAATCTTAATGATAAACAAGTTTCCAGAATTAGATGAAAATACTTAGTTTCTTAGTAGACAATATTAACTACAGATTTTAACAGTTCACTCATTTGCCAATGTATACAGAGTTACTGTTTTGGTCATGATTGACATATGCCTACTGAACTGATGTTGCTACAAACGTAGTAGTTCAGTTAGATAAGGCAGAAAAATTATAGGGGCTTCACATTACCTTGACCCCCACCCCCCAAAAAAAGTTTACTAAAAACAGTAAGTACGTCCTTTGTGACAAGAAGGAAAATCCTATAGAAGATGTTTAAAGGTAAATACAAAAGATTAGTCTAGCAAGAAGAGATGATATAGATACCACCATTAAACCATTACTTAAAGAGAGCAACATGTCCGACATGCCTTAAAATACATACTTGTACTTTTGAAAGAAGTTTGGAGCCTCAAAAAGTTTGGACCACTCTGCCTTACTCAGCAAAATTTCATCTGTGATAGCAAGACCTAGATTAAAAACATATTAGAATGTTTGCATGCTGCAGTCTAACCATCTAGAATTTTAAATAATTTTAATCATACCACATGCACTCACTATAATCCTAAAACCAGAATTTTAACGCACAGAAGTTTTATAGAGCATTTTCTCACATAGGTACAACACATTTCAAAAAAGCTGGAAGACTGAGAGCCAGGTTTCTGGTAAAGTGCCATTATTCTAAAATGCTCATGGAATGACTTTTCCTCAAAACTGAAACACTGTAGTTACCTAAGAAAAATTTCCCATATACTTTGTTTATTGCCTTTCTGGAAAAAGGTTTCCTGTTGTTTCTAAAAGTATAGAGGCATCTTCCCATGAAAAGCCTCTTTAGGGAATAGGAAAGAATTTTAAACTTCAAAATTTAAAGTTGGTGGTCGAACAGCTGATTCTGTCTCCTTGACTGCTTTCTGTCAAACCAAACAGTCTTGTTCCAGTTACTTCCCTCAAATAACATTTGGTAATAGCTACACCTTCATATTAACAGTACAACTGGAGTTCAAAAATGGTGAAAGCTTCTTCCAAAATAATGGGCAGTCTGGCCTCAATCCTGCTCAAAACTCTTTCCCAGGATATACAGCCTGCTAAGCATCTGCTAAGCATCTGTCACCCAGTACAGACAAACTATTATTTTTAATTTTACAAGACAATAGTATGGCACTGAATAAGCCTCTGATGGTTTTCAGTGTTGGTTAAGCTTCCAACTTAAAAAATAAATTGCCTGAAAGGAATTAAACTTTTTTGAGTCAGTTCTCAAATATATACCATTATAAATAAACAAACACCAAAATCCACTTCAGTGAATGCCACTTCAATTTAAGTTGCGTAGCTGACTACTGGGTCTACAACGGTAGGTAAATCCTTCGTGTATAAAGCAGAGCATAAGCATAAACACTTACCTTGTTTAAACTCCTCAACCATGACCATCCGTGTTGAAACGGACACATTGTACGTGGAGTTCTGTTGTGGGTATGCTGGTGTAATTATAGGCATAAGATGGTACCTATCACTGGGGTTTACCTACATACAACAACAGCCAATCAGTTTCTTCAAGTACATATGCAACAGATACTTGGACTTTTTACCCCTTGTTAAACTGAACCAATGATTAAATTTTATTTCATTCATAGCTGGAGTTAAGAAAGAAAAATCATGTAAGGAGACACTGTTTTATAGGAAATCTTCATAGAATCAGAGATTTGTTCTAAACTAACGATTTGTTTCAACCACGGGCATGACTATTTTGGCAACCTTACTAGAAACAGTGTGCCTGCTGAGCAAAAAAAGGTTCTCTTGGGAAATTTACTGATGTTTAGTTTTTCTTTATTCAACAACAGAAATGGGGGTGTACACACAATCACATTTCAGAGAACCATCATGCTACAAAACGTTCTGTGTAAAACTAATTTTAAACAAGATGAAAAGCTAAATTAATATACCCTTAAGTTATAAGGAGTTCAAGCTTATAACACATGGTGAAACTACATTATCCATGTTGACATCATTTTAAAGAGATACTGGAATTGTTTACTAACGGTTTATCTGTATACTGTGCAAATCATAAACTCATATTCTCCAAAATTAAATGCCCTGAGGTTTGAAAATTTGAAAAGACATAGCTTGATGTAATTCAACGGAACTTAAAATTTTTGATATTGTAGTAAGATAATAAATTTAGAAAATTGGAATGTCATAAACCTAGAAAGGCTTATTAAAATCTAAATTTCTCTTTATTTATAAAGCACATATTGTTAATATTTAAAATGAGTAAGCGGTAAATGTCATAATTTCCCAAGAAACAGAATGGAAGCTCTTCTTTAGCCCAACCTTGTTTTTGTTATCTTTGAGATATCTAAACCAATTTTTACAATTACATCATGGTAATTAAAGTGATACTGCTTATAGGTTATCTGCCACATGTAAACATTAGGTAAAAGCTTTCCTAAAACCACTCAGTTTTAACAAAATATTTAGATA